TTGTGCATACCTGTTCGATGTCTGAATCCCTTATACTGTTAACTTTCGGTTTTCGTGTACCTGATTTTGGTCAAAATGTTTTATTAGACACCACAATAAATACTTAATTTGGAATGCATAGTGCCACATGGTCCACAATTAAAATCCTGGCCTTGTAGAACCTTAATCTTCTTCATTGCTCTACCAAACCACTGGAATCTTAGCATCTAGAACACTGAATTTTAGTTCGCTTCATTAGCATATTTGAATATAACTCTTTTTATTTAATTCATGTCAGGCAGGTAATTGTGCTGATGTGTAACAAGGTTTGAGGGTGGTACACGCAGCACAGCCTAGTGAATACCCAAACATCTCGTTTATGAACCAAAAAAGGATTGAGAACTTGACTCTTCAAGATCATGTGTGCGATATTTTTACACTTCTCCAAAGCCAACAATGATGCTGAAGCTACTGAATAATTGTTTCTTAATGTTCCAGGGAGATATTAAATAACTTCTCTTGTTCATAATATAGAATATTCTGCTATTAATATGCATGTTCAATAATGTATGTAACTTCCATTTATATTTTTTTTCAGAAACCCACATATCACACTGGCAGGCAGCACATGATATTTTTTGGAAAATGTTAATTTCTTGTTGCTATATTTACTTCAAATCGCTTTTCTTTGGACTCCAGGGAATATTATAATTGGCCCATTCAAAAAAACTAGAAAAAATGCTCAACATGGATGCATGGGTGGATTCCTCTGCTCTTTGCAGACCGCATATTAGATACATTCTGTACCCCTTTAATGGTGGTAAAGGTTAGCTCTGTCATAACTACGAGACAAAGGTAAGGGTAGAGGAGATGAAAGTGAAATGCGTTTGATCTGGAGCCTCAGTTTATCCTTTGTGCTCTGCCATTGGTTCAGCAGCTGACTGTAGGCACAGGACACACCCATCCTCTTGCCTGTTAGATCAGCCAATAAGAGAGAAGAAATTGAAGGTCCAGGTGCCGGAGTCTCTCCTTGGTGGGGTGCACAAGACCACACCTCCATTGACTGAACACTGGGCCTCTCTCAGAGTTCTCTGTTCCCAGTTTCCTATTTTCTTATTATTATGGGTAGATGTTAATTTCATTTTCACCATGCAAAGCTGAAATAGGATCTGAAATATTAATAGTTTACTCAGGAGTTATACTAAGTCCTTAGGACAGAAGAGTAGGAAAAATCAGTAAACCGTGTGTAACTGAGCTTGGAAAAACTGAGTGTAACCAGAGTTCCAGTTTTGAGAACTGAACTGTCTCTATAGAAAGACCTTAAGACTTTCTGACTTGGGTACCTGTCCACAAAGTCCTAACACCCTCCTCTTGTCCTGTCCTGGAACCTCCCTTGTTCTTCCGGGAAATTTCAAACCTGACTTGCCATGGCATCAGAAAAAAACAAAAATCCCAAAGCACAGAATAAAATGGCTAGCACTGTGCATGGAATTGTCCTTTACAGTTGAGCAGAAAATGTAGCTCAGGCTAAGCAGGGTGAGATGGAGCATCAGGCACAGCCGACTGCAGGTAGGAGCTACAGGGACCAGCCTTCCTGGGCCTTCCTTACTCCCTGCACAAATATTTTAAATAGCTCCCTGATTATCTCTTTGAACTACCCGGGTTCAGCTACCATCTGCTCTCTGTGACACACTTTGTCAGTGAGGATTTCAAGGTAACAAAGTTTTCAGACACCCACAGCTGCTCTGTCTTTCCTCACCTTTGACTGGACTGTTGGTACTGACCATTACACAGCATTCAAACTCAACTCTAAAATGCTTTACTGAGAGCAGTGGGATGCTTATGTTTTTTAAAAAATATGTCTGTGATTGCCAGACTTCGTGTCTGTGTAATGAGTAAATAATAGTGCAATGCTTAGTGATCGCTGAGGATGAGTGATTTCTTTGGGGAGAGAGAGCAAAGTCTTCAGAGCCCACAGTTCAGGAAAGGGGCGACAAACACTCATTTGAGAAAGCGCAGCCCATGTCTGCAGTGCCAGGGAGACTTAATAGTTTTAAGTATTTCTTATAATAGAAAACCTTTTGTGATGTAGTCCTTGGAGGTCTAATTTCAATTACAAAAGTGTTTCTAAAGTTGCAGAGTTATTAAACACAGTAAAGAGCCACATGTCTCTGTTTGGTGATGTATCTAATCAGAAGGTTTGGGGGAAAGGCTTTTTTTCGTTATGCTCAGCACGAGGGTCCTTTGTAGTATTACAAAGGACAACACCGTGCACTTGGCGGTATGCTCTGCGGCAACAGACTATACATTTATCACCTGAAACAAATGCATCGTCTCCTGCCGTTTCCTCTTTGTCACGGTAGAAAAGTGCTGATCACAAATAGACTCACTTCCTGAAGCTCCGGCCCGTCTGCTCTACGGACACTCTCTCCACACATTTTGAAAATCAGGGCAGAAGCTGTCATTGGTATCACGAGCCACGTTTCCTTTTGAGACCCATCCGGGATGCTTGCGAAGACGATATTGCCGGGGCCCCGCTCGCCACGCTGGAGGACTATGCAGCTTCTGTTAATTTCTGTAAAATTAACAAGGGCTAATCTTTATTGTAAGCAAGTCCTATTACTGTCATTGTCATGAGAGTTGTCCTAGAAAACAGACATGTTGCCTCACTAGGGTCTCCCCCTGTGGAGAGGAGAGTATTATTTAACTATTTAAAAAATATATATATAAGGTTTTTATTTGTTTTTTAAGAATTTTAAATATATACAGACAGTGTAGTGGTCTGATCATGTTCACCCTCACTGCCTTCTCCATCCCCCCCCCAAGTTCATGTCCTTTTAAACCCACTGAATTCAATTAGTGCTGCCCATATGGACATGGGGTGGGGTCTTCCACTTGAACATGAGCAACTGCCATCACATCGCCCACCGCTCCTCAGCCAGAAGTGGGGCTTTTTAACACAGAAAATTAATCTGTGTGAAATTTGCTTAATATATTTTTATTGCTGGTCTTCATTTTATTTTTATTTTCATATTTCTCTGAAGCAATATTTCATTATATTTCATATAATAATATGGAAATGAAGGTGGAGCTTTGAAAGAAATTAGAGAAATTGATTTCATAGAAGAAATAGATGTGTTCGTAACACTGAAGTGGCATAAATTTATGTAAGAATTGTAATACTCCTCTCCGGTTAAACTCTGGTTTTCATTCCTTCATTTTTTTTATATATTAACATAATCACTGATCAAATATGCTCTGACAACTGAGTTCAGTGATACCGGACATGGATGATGACAGAGTAGACACCTCAAATATAGTCTCAGAGATCCTGTAGTTTAATGAGGAAGATTTATATTACACAAAGGGCCAAGCGAACATTTAATTAAGAATACATAATTCCCTTAAATATAAAATATGAGTTTGTAAAAAATCGTGTTAGAGGAGGAGTGACAGTTATGCATTCAACCACTGCATGTGTGCTGTGATTCACTAAGCCCAGGGAACAGATGGAAAGTTTCTAAACTATTCTGAGACAGGGTAGAGTCGATGCTCTGATGTCAGGTGAGGCCTGGTCAAGGCAGGAGAACATAGGGCACAGCTCCTGCAGTAGTAACCAGCTAAAGAGTCTTACAGAGTTTTAGGCTATTTTTAGAACTGTGATCATGGGCTGAAAATAACTGTACTATCATGTCAAAATTTGCATTTTTACAGTGCTTATCTGAGCACCATGTACAGACTGCCAGATAGACCAGTAAAAGAAAAATGATGTTCCACAGGGGTGCAGTTTCTTTGCTGATGGGAAAGGATGCGTCTAGAATGAAAATCTGACAAAGATTTAGGAATAGATCTGTGAGATATACCTGGAAGTTAAAAAAAATAGGATTGCTGATCAATTGAATATGAGACTTGCTCAAGGGAAATAAATGCACAGAATCCCAAGCATTGTGATACAGGGGATTAAATTTCTGCAAGTAGATCTCTGATGTTTGATTTAGAATAAATTACTATTGACATCACTTGGACACATGCCAAAGATGTTTAATAAGCAAGAGTTTACGTTGGGTCTTAGCGGAATGGAAGTCACAGTCATGTATTAAAAGACTTGATATAAACGTTTCCACTGTGGGTGATGTTTTCCATGGAAACAATCTAGAGGGAAGGAGAAGACTCTTCTGCTGTATTTCAAGACTTGTCAATATTTGATGACTGATAGTGGTAAAGGGAGCCGTGCATCAGAGGGAAATTCATTAGAAGTCATGACTGAGTGGAAGCAAAGGTAAACATTTCCAAAATTACAGGTGCTTGACTCTGAGATGCACTGGGCAATGCACAAGGTGACCACATTTTAAAGCCCCAATTATTCCAGAAACACAGAAACCATTTGCTGACTTTGGGGGCAGTAGAGTCCCAGGAACATGGTAGCTGAGTAAATGAAATCTGAAAAAGGAAGGAACTGTGACAAACTAGGCTCTATAGAGCAGAGAGATGATGACAGCTAAGTTCATTTTCTCAGTGACACCTGGAAAAAATAGGTTTTTATCATAAAATATATGTAATTATAAAAGATCAGTTATTATCAAACTCCATACTTTTTTGTATTTAGAACAACGTATTAGAATAGCGTACTGTGAAATATGCATACCTGAGATTTTGTGTATGACGGAATATTTTTAACCTTATAGCTTTTATTAAATAGACCAAATATCACAAATATGGTTAACAAGGGAAGAAAGAAAGCAGTTTACGGGTATCAACCTATCTTTTCTAATCACAGAGAACTACTTTGGCACAAACTAACTTCATAAAAGCGTCAAGGCAGGTGGGAACATTTGAAGGCACTTTCAGAAAGTGCTTGGAGCACGGTGAGAAGGTTTCTCGAGAGAGTTTGTGATTGGCTTTCCTGTGAGCGTACCAGCCTAGAAGGGTCAGTGCTGCTGAACGCTGTGGAAGTGTTAACTTTGATTTCCCTCCTGAGTGGCCAGTGCTGCATCTGCTTCAGTGTGTTGAGTTAATCCTGTGAGTTAATCTGCTGTTGATCTTCACCCCACACTGAGGGTAAATAATATCTTCTTGATCACTGTTCTTTCTTAGTTAGGATTGTTTCAAATCCTGTCTTGCCCACATCTCCTGTGATGGTTACAATTCTTCACTTTTACCTTTCACTACTGTGCTTCTGTTTTAGTTATAAAATTCCAAATAGCAATTAATTCTCATGCTTTCAAGAATGTACAGTTAGGTCAGGAGTGATGCTCTCTGCATCTGTATTTGAAGCATTGGGAAGACTGAGTCAGGACCACTGTGAGTTCAAGGCAAGTCTGGGCTACGCAGAGAGTTTAAAGCCAGCCTGAGCTATGAGGCAAGGCTCCATACCAAATACAAATTAAAATAAGAAG